ACAGCATCAGACTGAGCCGTTGAGGTTCTAAGAAGTCCAGGAGCTGTAGGAAACGAAGGGAGCGACAGAAGCGGGAGCAGCGAGAGGAGGGAAAGCCTGAGCCAGAGTCCTGCTAGCTACGGGCACAGGCTGGTAAGGACCTAGCCCCGGCAGAGTCCCAGTGAAGAGCGGACAGAAGGCAGGACACCAGGAGCCACAGTGCAGGCAGACATGGAGGAGAAAGGATGCACCGAGGATGCTTGGGATGAGCACTGAAGGGATGTAGAGGAGGAAGCCAATGTGTGACGGTTACTTGTGAATAAAAGTCTCTCCACTTTCTTACTGAATACCTGAAGCGAGGGCTGAAGTGTGTGCTGCCATCTTTCTAATAAAAAATACTTTCAAGAAAAGCTTTTGATTGTTCTTTATGAAATACAATTGATTTTTGATAATATCCTATAGCCTTGCTAAATTTACTAATTAGTACTCAAAACATTATTTTTAGATTCAGTTAGATTGTTTTCTACATAGGTGATCATGCTTTTTGTGAATCAAGAAAAAATATTTGCTTTTCAACCTGGGTTTTTTGATAAGAATAGATACTATGTTTGATGTTAAGCCAAAAAGGTAGAGCTAAGTGATTAACCTAGGTTTTTAAATTTTCTTTTTCTGCCACCTAATTGTGTGGGTCAGAACCCTTAGTACAATGTTGAAAAGAAGGGTGGATATTCTTGTTTTCTGTTTTAAGAAAGCTGTGTTCAGAACTTTATCCCTATGTTAGAGTATTTTTTCTAAATGTTAAGTTTGAGAAAGTCCTTTTCTATTTTAATTTGTAAAGCACTTTTATTAGGAAAGGATGTTGAATTTGTCAGATAACTATTTTCTGTTTTATGGCAGAAGTAAAGGTACTTGAGGCCCATGTGTCTTTCTAATAAAGGTTTTTAGCATTTTAAATTTCCACCTACCTACTGCTGTATTGGTATCCCACAGATTTGACATGTCTGTTTTTTTTCTTTTTTATTTCACATTTTCTGTTCCCTTTCAATTTATTTTTTTGACACACTGGTCATTTAGTTTCCAATTAAGAATTTTTCTCCACACATCTTTCTGTTACTGATTTCTGTAGTAATTCCATTGTGTTCAAAAATACTTTATATAACTTAGATTCTTTAAACTTACTGATACTTGTTTTATGGCACACAACATGGTATATATTTTGTAAATGTTTCATGTGCACTTACAAAGAACATGTCATTTACTATTTGGTGGAATACTCTATAAATGTCTGTTAGGTCCAGTTGATTTATAATATTGTTCAGCACTTTTTAAAATTTTCTTTGTATTCTATTGAGAAGGGAGCATTAAAACATTCAATGATAATCATAGATCTGTGCATTTTTCTTGCAGTTCTAATAGTTTTTAGCTTTGTATGTTTTAAAATTTGCTAAGGAACAAATGTTTAAGACTGATGTCTTTTCCACTAATGGACCCTTTTTGTCCTTATGAAATGACTTTTTTTCTAATAACATTATTTACTCTGAAGTCAACTTTGATATTAACACTGAAGTTTTCTTTTGCTTATTGTTAGCATGATATATTTTTCACCTTTTCTATTCTTTTTAACCGATTTCTAGCTTTTTCCCCCCATGTATTTTAGGCAAGGGTCTACAGGGTGTTCAGGGTCTCACTACTAGATCAGACTCGTATTGATTCTCCTGTAGTGATTCCAATCACATGTAGTGATTCGACTCCCAAGTGCTGGGATTACAGGCACGCACCACCATGCCCAGTCTTGATTGCCATCTCAGTGGCCCCTGGGGGCGGGGCCGGCACGGCAGGCCCAAGATTGAACCCCCAGCCCCTGCTTGCAGGCACTTCAATCTGCTGAGCTGTTTGGCCCACCCTACATTTATAGCTTGATATTTAAAATGCCTTTTTTGTTGGCAGTAAATGATTGGGTCTTTCCTGTTTATCTTACTTGACAGTTGTTTTCTTTACATTGGGGATATTTAAACCATTCAACTTTAATATTGTTTATCGACACTTTCTATTTAAGTTTGTCATCTTGCTACAGATTGAGCATTCCTTTTTTTTTTTTTTTTTAATGGAACTGGGATTAAACTCAGGCCCTTGCACTTGCCAGGCAAACACTTATTCTACTGAGCCATCTCCCCAGCCCCTAGGTTGAGTATTCTTAATCTGAAAGTAGAAATGCTCCAAAATCTGAAACTTTTTAAATGCTAATGTGATGGCACAAATGGAAAATTTCACTTGACCTCACAGTGATGGCTTATAGTTGAAATGCAGGCACTCTGAAGTATAGTATAAAATTACTTTCTGGCTATGTGTTTAAGGTGTTTATGAAATACAAATGATTTTTGTGTTCAAATGTTTTTTTACCCTCAAGATATCTCATTACATATGTAAGTATATAATTTTTTTTTAACAAGTCTGATATTTGAAATGCTTCTGGTTCTTAGCAGAACCATCTGTATTTGTCTTCTATCAGGTTTTTGTTCTTTTCCATTTACTGCCTTTTTAAAGATTGATACTTTAGAAGTTACCTCTGTAGCATACTTTATTTTTTTCGGTGGAACTGGGGATTGAACTCTGGCCCTTGTACTTGCCAGGCAAACACTTATTCTACTGAGCCATCTCCCTGGCCCTATACTTTATTTGCAGTCTGTTTGTCTGTCTGTCTGTCTGTCTTCCTTTCTTTTTTAGGATTACTGTTATGAGGATTTTTTTTTCTTTTTTTTTTTGCTCCGAATGCCTTCAGGGCAGGTTTGGCTGGCTTGAGTTGTGGGGATCGAACCACAGCAACCCAAGCCTGACTGCTTTGTTGAAGCAGCCACTTAAAGAACTGAGCTAAGGGGCAGGCCCCCTAGGATTACTGTTACGTATCTGTAACTTAGAGCAATTTTATAGAACAGTGGCTCCCAAAGGCAGGAATAGTGATGCTAGTAGTTTGTATATGCCAGAGAAAAGTAATAAATGAGTTCAGTGCTATTCACAGTTTCAGATATCCATTGGGTCTTGAAAGTATCTTTTATGGATCATGGAAGACTGCCTCATGATACTCCAAAATTTATAGTTTGTTTTTGTTTTGATGTTGTAGCTAACACTTAGCACCGTGTTGGTAAATATTTGTTTTGACTCAAGGATGTGTAGGTAAATATTTGTTTTGACTCAGGGATGACACAAAAGTAGGTTAAAATTTGCTGTTCCAATAGAGCTTCATGGAACATGGTGGTTGGTGGGTATAGTTATTTTTATGCAGTGTAGGTTGTAACACACAGGTTATTTAATTTAAAAAGAATATTTTGGAGCTACAGATAGAGAAAAATAGTAGACCAGTTGCTTAGAATGCATAAAACTCTTTGTTTAGTCCCTAGTAACACTTAAAAAAATTGTTTAAGTGTATGAATTAATCTTGACCTTCAGCATATTTTTCTTAGTACTTAATGACATTAATAGAGAAAAAGTTACTGCTAATAAAGTATATAGAAATAGTTTAACTATATGTTTAATGACCTGCTTTTGTGGAGGTAATATACAGATTTATTTTGTCACAAGAATATACAAGGAGTCTATATTATGCCAGGGATATCTTAGGGCTCTGTGAATGTCTTCTCCTGATTTCATAAAATTTAATAGCAGTACTCTTGAGAGAAACTAATGTCATTATAGATTGTTTGAGGATGAGTTAGGAAAGAAATGTAACCCTATGATAATTTGTAACTCAACTATATATCTGGTTTATTTGTGGGTGATTATTAAGCTCACAAAGTTAAATAAATATGTTGAATATATAATGAAAAGAATCTTATGCAGCAATTTATGTTTTCTTAAATCTTAAAAGTTTTTCTACCAGCCAAACTAGAAAAGATAAACAGTTTGCATTGGTGGCATATAAAACCTAGCAAATTTTGTTTAACCTAATAGGCCTTTAAATTTTGGATTATAATTTTTATACCATAGATGACATATTTTACATCTCTGCATGGCTTACTTGAAAAATAGAAGCAGTTGCTTAACTGGATGACTGTCAAACTGGTCAACATAGATTGATGAGCTGGAGTGCGGTAGACAGTGGGTGTGCAGATGGTAGTGTCTGTACCATTTGACAGGAGATGGCTGAGTTTCTAAAATGATTTCCGTGGAATGGCTTCGGTGTTTTGCAGTAAAGGGCATCCATTCAACCTCAGGTGCTCTACAGATGGCAGAGCCAAGCTAATATAGAATAATGAGAAACAAGTGACTATTTAATGTACAGGAATGCATGAGCCGCATCACAAATAAATGATGGTATTACATGCAGGAAACCAAGCCAGATGGCTGTACATTAAAACACATGACTCCTTTAGAGAATTAAATACAGGCAATTTGCTCAGATTTCCTGTAAGGCTGCAGCATATTATATTAGGGTAGGGAGAATGGGAGATTATTTTTTGAAAGTATATATAGTAGATGAAGTTGGCAGTTAAGTAAGCATAATCTGATCTTTGTAAGTATTTGAATTATCTCTTTTTGAGGAGGAATGGTTGGCTTTAAAATAAAAGGATGTAAGAAGTAAGATTGTCCGTTGAAGCTGTAGAAAATACAGCTCTCTTTTGGCCCACACTTCTCAGTTTAATGAAGTTTTCCACTAGGCAAAAGTTTAGTGTCTGTTCATTTGTTTTTAGGACCAGTAAAATTAATGTACTTTTTTCTGTAAAGGTTTTCTTTTCTTTTATGTATTTGGTACAAATTCTCACTGTGCAGCTCACAGCTCAGACTCATAGTGATCCTCCTGTTTTTGGCCTTTTCAGCACTGGGATTACAGGCCTGTGCCACCATACCTCAGTGGCTGGCTCAGTTCGCCTGGTAGTGGGGCTGGCACAGCATGTGGTCTATAGAGGTTTTAATAAATGAATACCAGTGACTTTGGAAATTTTAAAGTGGGAAAAGTTAATGTGTTGAGTATTGTGTGAAGTGGGACCATTTTCACAAGCAAAATATTACATTTGTGTTTTTTTCAGCTTAAAGAAAGTGGTTATTGTACAGGTCATGAACCAGATTCCCTGGAATTCAGCACTGTGGGAGGATGGATATCTACTCGGGCATCAGGCATGAAGAAGAACATCTATGGAAATATTGAGGACCTGGTGAATTTCTTTCTGGTTGTTATATAAATATTATTGGTGTATAGAGATTATTGTAAAGAGGTTAAAAGTCTTCAGAAATTAAGTGTTGGAGCTGGGGGTGGTAGTCAGTAGTAGAGACTTACTTAACATGTGTGGGACCCTAGGTTCAATCCACAGACTGCCCAAAAGCAAAACAAAAAATTGTTATTTGGTAGATTGCCGCAAATACACCCATTTTGATTATAGCAATGTTGAATATGTGTAGTAGAAGCAATTAAAAGACAACCATGGTTATTAAGAATGCCCCTTTACAAGTGACTGATGTTTAACTTTGCAGATGTTTCATAGTATCTAAGTTATAAAACACACAAATATTATCTTGCCTTGTGGAAACTGTCTTCAGTTCTCACAAGATCTCCCCTCCCCTCCCCTCCCCTCCCCT